GTCGTGGCGTGTTGGAGGAAGCCATTTCGCCAGTAGGCGGAGCGCAGAGTGTTCCACGTGACGACGTCCTTTGCGGGCGTTTCGTCGAACAGTTTGCGGGCGGCGGAGAGGTTTCCGGCGCGGGAGAGGGCGGCGATGGCGAGGTTGGCATCGCGAGCGGAGGATGGAGTATTTGCAAGTGTATGCACACTCCTAATTTCTTTTATGTACATCAAATATATATTTATATTTAAATTCTTAGTATGTTTTTACAGAGTAATATGTTTTGAGATCCAAAATAGGAGCCTGATTTATTTGTGTTGTGTATATTATAGAGAGTTCATATACACTAAAATCACGTTTCCAACTCAATGAAAACGTGATTTGTTCAATGTATTTTGGTTAAAAAAAGCACTTTATAAAGACGAGACGTGAACTAAACAAATATGAGCGGGGGAATAACAGTTCCGTAACTTAACTAGGCCCGTAAAATATATTGGCCTAAATGTTGGCTCACAGTCGTTTGGACTCTCTCACATAAATCTTAGACCAGCCCAAACTGAACCTCAAGGTCGATTTGATCAAAAATGGCCCACAAATTAAAATATTCAGTTTGTTTTGGATTGGGCCTTTTGAAAGCAACCAAACCTGTTCATTTGAGTAAAAATTATTCATTATCGAGAAGTATTCTTCTTGAATGGAGATAGTCTTCTTTTAAGTTTGACAAATATTGAATAGATGAATATCTCACCCTAATTTTAATTTTTTGCATTCATAGAAATCAAGATTTAAGTCATGAATATTTGATTAAGTGACGTGAGTCTCTCTCCATTTACATCAATCAAGTTGATAAAAAAAATATGATTTAAGTAAATAAAAAGAATAATTAAAATATTAATTAAATTTGGAAATAAAAAACATGATTATATAATATTTAATTTTTAAATGAAAATTATAAAATTATAGTCTAAAATGAAATATAAATAATGCCAAATTACATAAACATGTGCAAAAGTTAGTAATTACTCTTTAAATTAAACATGTTTCTATTCAATTTAAATATAAAGATATTCCTTCTTAGTTATTAAAAAAATATTTTTATTTATTGTTTGCAAAAATATGTAGGTGCAGCTTTGTTTATCAGAAAAATGCTTTAGACATTTTTTTTTATAAAAAAAAGGTATCAACATATTGTGGTATGATTGATAGATAATTACACTCCATAAACATGCGGTTAGGATTTGATCTCCACGCTTATGTATAAAGAAAAATATTTATCGGAAGAGGTGTATTTCCTAAATCATTTGTTATATTTCAAGATTAATTTATAACTTTTGATCAAAGCATATCTTAAACGACAAAAAGGAAAATATCAAGATGTGTAATTTTGTTATTATGAAAAATACGTTCCTATATATATATATATATATATATATATAATGTATAACTCTTACGACAAGTTTCATTTTAAGTTTAAAGTGATATTTCTAGTTAAAAATCTGTATTTAAATTAGGAATAAAATCTCAATTATTTGTTAAAGTATATAAATGTCAAATCAATTGTGATAGTGATTTTTGGTAAAATAATGTAGTAATTTATATTTGAAATTAATTAAATGTGTTGATAAATTGATCTGATATAGTATAAAGTGTTAAAACAATTATTTAAAAATAAGTAGAATCAATTTTTTATATTATCAATTTTCAGATTTAATTTTGAAAACTAATCCAACATAAACCAAAGTGAAAAAACCTTTGATAGTAGTAGCCCATGAATGCATTGTTCCCAAAATTGTCATAATTTCAACAAGATTGCATGTTTGGTTCTGATTCGGGACAACATATTCTAACTTCACATATTTCATCAATTTAGTGCAGAAAAATTATAAAGACGTGCGTAATCTACACACAACCAATGAACCATAGATTGGTGTAGCATAGATTCTGAGTATGATTACATCCAGTTAATAAATATGAAAGTTATTGAAGCAGGAGTGAGTAGTACTAATAGCATTTTAGGTAGCCATAAATGAGCTTCTTCACGGCACTCAAAATATTAGTGGCATCTTCAGTTTCTGTATCGGAGTTGGCAAAGATGGTCCCTGCCCAGTTGGACAATTCAATGCGTTGTACATGCACCTCAACCACTCAACAGTACTAATTCTCAAGTAGGTTCTAATAAATGTGATGCTAAATTTTAAAATAAAAACACAAAGTTTTAAAACTAGAAAAATCACTTCTTTATATATTACAGTATCACTTTTCAGATTTACTACTGAAAATCAATCTAACATAAACCAAATCATGCTCATAAATATGTTTGGATAAATATTTTCAAAATTACTTATAAGAAAAGAAAATAATAAAAAATAATAATTTTTTATAAATTAAAATTATTTTATTTACAAACTAATTTATTTCTCATCCAGCTTTTTCAGAAATTAAATTTCATTAACTTTGTACATAAATTTCTCCATAATTATTATAAGTTTGAATGATAACATAGATTATACGAAACAAAATATTCACATAATTAATTAGCATCCAAAATATCACATAAGGTATTTCATATAAAAGGAGTTTAACTTAGTTAATTAAATAAAGTGGTTGAATATGATGCATGAATTGTTATAAATCTCTTTTATATTAAGTTTGATTTATATAAATAAAAAACATATTTCATGTATGTCATCCAAAATCCATGTAAATTGAAAAATAGACTTTACATATGAACATGTTCTTAAAGTTTTTTCTTTGATATATCAATATTACTTGAGAAAACATATCACGATCGGTTTAGGAGTATACACACATAAAAAAAAAAATTATCTTAGTGGAGATTTGGTATATAAATTTTTTTATTCTTAAGAATCATACTCTTGAAAATGGTAAATTTTATGAATCATTATTCTTATCATGTTTGGTTTATCGTAATTTTTTCTTTTTATTAACGTATGAGATATTTTTATCAATATATATTATTTTTTTGTTTCATAAAATCTAATAACAAATTATTATCTTCATCCTTATGTATAAGATTCTTTTCATTTTTTTCTTGTCTTTTTTATAAGACCATTTTCTAATTGTAAGTTGCATTCATTGTATAAAATCATTTTCTAATTATAAGATCCTTATTTTTTTTAGATAAATATTTTTAAAAATACTTATAAGAAAAAAAATAAGATTTTTTTTTTATAAATTAAAATTATTTTATGTGTAAACTAATTTATTGAAGTTCCCTCATTCAGCTTTTTCAAAAACTAAATTTCATTAACTTTTGTGCATAAACTTCTCCATAATTATTGTGAGTTTTAATGATAGCAGCGATGATACTAGATCTGCAAGACTTATCATTGTTATATTTTTTCTCTTTTGGAACAAAGTATTCATATAATTAATTAGCATCCAAAATATCACATAATGTATTTCATATAAAAATAGTTTAACTTAGTTAATTAAATAAAGTAGTTGAATAAGGTACATTGAGTTGTTATAAATTTCTTTTATATTAAATTTAATTTCTATAAATAAATAAAACTATATTCCATGTATGTCATCCAAATAAATCGGGAAAAAAACTTTACATATAAACATGATCTCAAAGTTTCCTCTTTGATATATCAATATTATTTGAGAAAATATATCAAGATTGGTTTAAGAGTATACACACATAAAAAAATATTATTTCAGAAAATTGATTCATTTATTAAATAAAATAATACGATGATTCGTAAATTTATATGTACATAATATAATTACCTAATGATAAGCGAGATTTAGTGGAGATTTGACACATAAATTTTTTCATTCATGAAAATCATGATTCTCAAGAATGATAAATCTTAATAATCAATGTTTCTTATCAAAATATGTTTGGTTTGTCATAATTTTTTATTATCAATGTATGAGATATTTTTATCAATATATGTTATTTTTTGTTTCATAAAATCTAATAACAAATTACTACCTTCATCCTTATGTATAAGATCCTTTACACTTTTTTGTTTATCTCTTTTATAAGTTGCATTAATTATATCTTCTTTAAAATATCTTTATTTAATAAACAATTTTTTTTAGACAAAAGATCATAAATGCTTGAAATTAATTGAATAATTTTTTTCTCTTTTATAAGGATTGGAAAAGATAAATAGACACATAAATATCCTTTTTTTCAAATATTAATTAGTTAGATGATAAATAAATTAAGTGAAAAGAGAAAAAAATTAATTTTGAAAAAGTAGTTTAAATTATTGAGAAATTTAATGTTCTTAAATAAATTAACTAATTTTATTTAGTTAAAAAAATATTATTAAAGACGGAGGTAGTAATTTCTCACTAGTAAACTAAACCTTAAAATTTTAGTAGCCTTAATCGTGACCGAGCTTATGTGTAGAAACCATGTTCTTTTTATTATGTTTTTTGATAATTCTATACATAATACTCTTCACATGTGTGGCAAGGTGGCCAAATCCAAAATTGATTTAGTTGTTCGTAAGGCCAGAATGCATAATCCACCTCATCATCTTAACAAACTTCTTAATATCATTAGGTGTGAAGTGTGGTCTACTTTTTGGGAAGAGAAAAAAAGTTAGCTGGCCACTGGGTGATACCATGTGAAGAGTGTTGACGATGAACACGACGATTGTCGTGTAGTTCGAAGCTTTGCTCTTAACCAACCACCAGCTGGTCTGAGCCTTCCAACCAATGCTAGTTGGTAAAAAAAAATGATAGCATGCCCAAAAATGATAAGTGGGATATTGGATCATTATGTTTATGTCATTTTTATTTCTACTAATGCAGTTTAGGGATTTATTTCCTTTAATTTCCCCTAGAAAGACATTGATGATTAGCATTTACATGTAGGCAAAAACATCTATATCAGTTGATAAAATAAACTCATTTAATAACCTAACAATTTAACAGAAATTTTTAGATGATTTTAGTCTGAAAGTGAGGTACAATAGGAGTATTTCTTTTTATTAGTTAAGTGAACAGCCAGAGCCACATACTAATTTCTTAAAATACTCATAATTAACGAATTGATTTCTTTTAACAATTTTTTTTTGTACATAAGAAACTGAAGATCAAACCATGACTACATATTTAGTTCTTTTTTCTCATTGAATTTTTTATTTTCATTGAATTGTAACTTATATTTGTGCCAATATTTTAAACGAAAAGGCGATAATTTTTTCCATCTAAATGCCATTTTAGTCACTTTTTTGAGTTCAATGCTTTATACATAAATTTAATATTCATTTCTCTCTTCCAATCCCTAAAATCTTCTCGCCAATTGAGAAATTGGAAAAAATACAAATAATATTTTTAATCATTATCTATGAAGGTAATTTAATGTATTTTCTTAAAATTGATTGGGTCATTAATAAAATACCTCCAACATATTTAGCACAGTTTCCTACTAACCACACCACCATTTGTTAGATAGGAGTATTTTACTGAAGACTGAAACCCCAATATTTTTCATAAATGCCCTTTAATGTGTAGAGGACTTTGAGCTTATTACAATTCTTGTCACATTTATTCGCGCATCTTGGTCGTTTAGTAAATCAAACTTGCATGCTCTAGGCATAAATTTATGAACGAATGGTATTTATTGTTTCTAATTCGACCGAAGAAGAAAAACAAAAGCAATATTTAACCGCGGAAATGTTTGTGATATCACTTAAAACCCAGCGATAACAAAACCAAGTAATGATTGTATTATCATCATAGCGGTATCATATTTCATGCTATGCTTCTATATATAAATATGGTAAAACTCTAAAATTGAATATACAGGGTAAGTAATTTACTTTTGAGTTTTGACGGAATTCGTTCTTCCCAGAATACATCCTCCTCAATCAGTGTTGTTTCAAAACCGTCCAATTCTGCTCAAAAAGGTAAAAATTAACAAATACTTCCTGTTTTTTTTCCCCTTTTCAAAGCTATGAAGTATGAACAAATACAACTAATTTTAAACTAACAACTATCTTGCCACGCTACAAAAACAAAATTATCTTGCCACGACCAAACACATGAAAAGTCACCAGGCACCCATCATGACCTAACCTTAACAGTACAGAGCAAACCACCAAATACAGCATATAGATCAACGAAGCAGGTGGGGTCGAATTAAGCAACACAACAAGCAGAGGCAACCATTACCAACAATTTCTTTTTTCACCAGACAGCCCAGGCCCCACACTAAATACCCTTGTCCTGTCGCCCGAAAGGTCAACTCATTATGTTTTGTATTCCTTGGATCTCATAATCCTTAGCTTCCAAAGCCTGCATGTTAAACCTATCATTTTACTCGTTACTTTTTAGGTCCCAATCTTATGTTTCAGTAAAGTGAAAGGAGTCAGCAGCATCAAAGTGCATGGCGAGTTGCACGACAGCAGAACGCACGGCTTCAGACGTTGGAGCCACAGAAGAGGGTAGATGGGGTAAACAAAGTGGCAGATACTGTTCACTCTCCTCAGGTGGGCAGAAAAAAGATATCACGGATCGGCAGAATATGAATCTGTACATAAATGATGCAACATGTCATACACCAAGTCCATTCAATAACTTCACTTTAATAGCGCTTGAAATCTAGATAGCAGTTTACTACTATTGACATTCTCCGAAACCAATAACCGATTAAAATGAAAAAGACTGCATTGGCTAGAAAGTAGAGAGCAAATACCTCAGAATAAGCCGCCTTAGAAATGGATCGCCTATAACTTGCGCCCATACTAAATCCATGGTAGTTGACGAGCAAAGAATTATTTCCCACTCAGTGAAAGCATTAGCGATTATGTTCTCTGCTTCGTTGTAGACATCCTTCAGGTTAAAACAACAATTAGACCAACAAAAATTAAAGTTGATTTGAGAAAGGTTAAAGATTATTCACATAAGCTTACTGTATCAGCCTCACTGGGGAAGAGACCAATCATTTGGCAAAAAGCTGACAAAGGAGCAGTCAAGAAAAAGGTAAATTGGCTTCCACTATTTGAATTTACATCAGATGGATTCTTGAAAATCGGTCTTAAAGGGGACAGAAATAGACCAGCCGCTTCTCCCCTCTCAGCACCATGTAAAACCTGCAATAATTTATTACGTACACAATCAATCAAGGCACGTCGATGTAAATAACGTGGGTTGGTCAATCCTCAAGCCTAGAAAAGACAGCATCTTCTACTTCCTATCAATTCCAATATACATTTAACACGGGATAAGTCAACAAGCAAATATTCTAAAATGATCTCCACACACAGCCCCCCCCACCCCCAACCCCCCAAAAAAATAATTAATAAATAAATAAATATATATATATATATATCACGAAGTCATTTTAACCCAGAATAGAAAGATGCTGTATTTGTTGTTCATTTAAGAGAAAGTTCTACATTCATATTCAAATTGTTCAAGGCCGGGTCTTTTTTGGTTAGGAAGTTAAAATTCAATTTGAAGTGCTACAACAAATCCTCAGACTATAAGGTAATAAACTAATTAAAAATTTCACCAAGCCATTAAAAAGTAAAACTTGATTCAAGGAATATCCTGAACAGCTCCCCCTAAAAAGTTCCCAGGCAACTCATACACAAGTTCTGAGTTTTGACAAACCTGCCTTGAATGCATGGCTGTTATCGCTGTCAATAATCAAGAAAAGAGGTTTCCGAGTGAAAGGGATAAGATCGCCAGGGTAGAGATTATTTGAACCTGATAATTCAAATAAAGCACATGTAAGTGCAACTACAACAGAGATACTTGTTTCTTATATAACGTTTAATCAAAACTAACCCAAAAGATGAAGATAAAATGTATCATTTTCGTAACATATCCTGGAACAATCTGAACAGAAAATTGACAGAGAATAGATTCAGTGCAGGTACATACCACTATTTCCCTTGGGACCAAACCACAGATAATTATCATAACAGCTCAGTTCTCTCTTGCCGTTATTTAGAGTTTCGGAAGCTCCAGAATTCTGTCCTTGGGACGTCTGAGAAAGGACTTTGTGTCTTGAATTTTTGGATGAACCTCCAGAATTTTCCATCTGAGAGACATTATTATGACCAGCCTTCCCTGCATGAGTGATCAATAAGGTAACTAACCTAGTATACCACTACAGACTATTCTTAGTTGAAAAGACAGTAAATATAAACCTGAGGCTGAAAGATATACTAGTACAACACAATCTGGTGGCAGCTCCTCACAAATTGTAGCCATAACCTGCACAACATCATGAAGCTTACGTAAGAAATAAAAACTTGTATGTTCAAACAGCCTGTGAAAAATTGCATTCAATAGAATCTAAACAGCCATTTTTGACAAGAGGAAATTTTGGCATCAGTTCATGAATTAGATCATACAGCACGAAGGAAAAAGCAAACACATTTAAGTGTGCGAAAACAGACAAGTTATACACTAGAATCAATGAAGCACACCAAAGGCAATCAAGAATATCCAAGTCGTGATAGGAGAAGCTGTAAAATAGCCATGCTAAATTATTTGATATTGACAAGGCCTAGTTACCAGAACAGCCTATAGATTTTAGTAAGTAGACAAGCCAAGTATGCAACACAATTTCCAATAGGCTTGAAAACTCACTGCTATCACATGTGTCACAGATGGACGGTACAGGGTAGCCTTTCTAGGATTAGGAGGTATACTTGGATCAGTCATATCTGCAGTAAGATTCATGTCTATTATCCCAGAGGCTCCTGAATGATCAATTGTGTCACCATTCTCCTTAGGTTTAACTGTATGCTTTTGGTAGAATGTTCCACTAGGCTCCCATTCTAAACATTGTATCATTCTATAGATGTCCAATGTGAGCTCGGCAAACTTGACCTGAAAGTGAGAATATATAGAGATTCATAAGCTTCAGTCCCTTTCAGCTACTGAAGTAATTTATTAATCCAAATTTAAGAACCACCACAGCAACGTGAATCAGTATTAACCTCATTTCGATGATAGCTTGTCAACAGTGCATCTTGAAATTTTAAAACCCTCTTTGCATGAAAACGAGCCACACAAGGAAGAGAAGCTCGATGAGTATCAAATGTGGCACAATAGCGCATTGGCCTGAAACTAAAGCCCTTATCGACTTTTGTGAATCGGTTAATTTCTTGCACAACTTGCTTCCATTCCTTAAAATTAGTTTCCTGAAAAAGAAATGATTCACATTCATAAGTCAAAGAGGTAATATAGATATATTATTTCTCCAAATGAATATTTGAATACAAAGCATCCACAAACTACATTATAACAAAGTTTCATGAAATTTTTTTATCTAAATGAAAAACACCTGAAGCAGAACAATGCAGAGATGATCAAGGTCCCAGGCCAGAAATATAAAGTTCAAGTAATTTTACAAAAATTACCAAATATAGTCAATAGGACTGTTGGCATCATGCGAATAATGAAGCATCACTTTTACTCTCCTGGGTCTGTGATCTACTTATCAAATCAACACATGTAATGCATTTAGTAATTTCAGGACCTTATGTTTTGTTTTGCCAACTGACAGCAACTTTGTTTTTATTATTATGTGCTTCCTGACAAGAAATTCATATCAGACTTTCAAGACATTGTTCATTAAATTATTAATTATGTGTGCATAGGACTGTAGGAGCATATCTGGTGAGTGCGTCCTCTTATGAGAGGAACTGATTTTTACCATAAAATCATAAATATATAATCAACATCAGATTTAAGTAAAACAATCTTGACTATCCATGTTTAGTAGCATGACCAAGATTTAACTCCTCTTACATCTCACGCTCACATTAGATACACACACTTTATATAAACAGGGTTCGAAAAGAAGATCATCATTCATCACTCCAACAACAATGTTATTCTGGAAAACTGCCTCCCCAACCCCAGTCGGTATAATATAGTAATCAACACACATAATACATTTGGACCTTCAGAATCATTTGTTCTGTTTTCCAACTGGCAGCAATTTCTTTCTTGATTATTATATACTTGCCGACCATCACTTCATATAAGATTTGAAAGAAAATCACCACTGCACCAATACTTTATCATAGAAAACTAGCCCCTGCAGTCAGTATAGCATAGTAGAGTATAACTTGAAATTCAGTTGATTCAAGCACTGATATGGTTCTAAAATGGGAGGCTCTTTTTCTAAATTTCACCACTTGCTTTTCTTTATTACTGCAAAACTGAGAACCTTCAATAACCTTGACATACAACCTCTTCCAGAACACCACAGATCACTTTCATAGTTCATACAATAGTCAGGTGTAACATAAAGATAAACTAGTAGCTAAGGCTACCAAAACGGTCTACTCCAAAACAAAAGGAACCAAAAGTTTGCTTAAATTATTATCCACTACATACCCATCAATTTTATCCCGTGGAACCAGATGTCAATGAAATAAAACTTACATTACTTATTTCATAAACCTCGTACAACGGGATTCTAACATACTTCAGCAACAAAAACTCTCTCCCAAAACCAGTCATAACAGAGGAACCATCAACTGTGAATTCAACCATATCACAGATCAAGGCAGCAAATCATCGCTGTTCTGTTCTATCATATAGCCCAAATCACCTGAGATGAAACCTACGGTACGGACCCTAAATTAAGTATCATAGAACGACCAGGCAGGAACCAATGGATACTTACACACTTACTTAATCTCTAAGTCAGAGCATTTTCAGGCACAATCACAAGAAAGCAGAGGTCATTTCACTCCTAATTAGTAACTTCGTTAGCAAAAACGAGAAGAAAAAAAATCGAATAATATTAGTCCACTCTCCTTCTCCGGCGGCAGTGGAACAAAAAATGAAGCGAAATTGAGAAAGAATGCAGTACCCGGAAGGTAGCCTTGCAATCTTCAACTAAAGCGACGAAGCGTTGAACGAGGTGGTTGACCATGTCGGTTCGGTTGAGAATGAGCGAAACGAGCAAGAAGCGCGCGTAGAACCTCAACTCCTTGGACCTGACTCCGAGATCTTTGGCGGTGGATTCGGATCCCTGGAAGTACCTTCTGCTGAGAATGGCCTCGTAGAAGACGTAGGCCTCGACGAGGAACCTGCACTCGCTGCTCCTCATGTACTGCCCGAAGTAGAGCTGGCCGATTCGGCTCGCGATCTCGCCGATTTCCCACCGCTTCAGCCCGCACTCCACCAGCCTCGGGCGGTTCTCCTGCTGGTACTTCCACAGCCGCGTGTACGCCTTGAACACCTTCTGGAACGCGTGCTGCCGCTGCTGCTGGCTCGCGCCGCCGTACGCCGCCGCGTCCCGAACCCTAGAGAACTTCCGGTCCGCGCTCTCCACCAGCGCGCGGAACGTCTGGAACGCCACGTCCGCGTTCTCGGACATGGCTGCCGGAAAATCAGAGCGAGCTCCTCTTAGGCCTCCGTCCGGTGCCGCTCCGAGCCGCCGCTCATCGGAGAATTCGGGAAAGTGGAAAAGCGAGTGACTGCTGATCGGAAAATAGAAGGAAATGTGTGCGCGCGTCGGAAACCAAAAGAGGGGAGCGCTCAAGACTCAACTCAAGAGGGCGGTTACACTTTTTGTTTGTCAAACACTCTCAACCAAAACTATATAATATAATTTTAATATTTACAATACTAGATAAACTATTTTCACACTAGCCTCTCATAGTAATAATTTTTTTATTTTTTCACGCCTACTTTCCGATTGGAGTCAACACCTAACTCGAATAATTGTCTGTAGAAAATATTGACAATTTTCTAAAATTTATTTTTAATTACTTAATAAAATAAAGTATTTTATACTTAGTATGTGTAAATAAGCTGTTTTATTTTATTTTATTTTATTTTTTTAGTTAAGAGGTGACCGCTGGTGACTAACTGACTGTGTTTCTTTTTATTTTATTTTTTTGGTGTTTCTTTCGCTTTTGCTTTTTTATATATATATATATATTTTTATTATCTTTTTCGCTGTTGGAGGGGAGAAGCGAATGATGGTGTTAAGATTTTGGATTATTTGATGAAGGGACTTTCTTTTCAGCGAATTTATTTTGGCTTTTGTACTAGAGAGACAGCAATTTATTTTCTTTAAGTTACTGAAAGCAATTGCAAAATGGATAAGCGAAAAAATGAAAAAACTACGGCCTTACAAAGGAAATCCCAACAACGTAAGCCAAAGCAAACGTTGCTACGCGATTGGCTCTTTCCAAGTCCGTTTGCAGCTCCAATGGGCCAGCAATCTTAATTACTTAATAGAATAAATATTGATGCTTAGAAACACATTGGTTTTATTGTTTTATTTTAATTAAACAAGTACTTTAAAAGGTGGTAAACTCTACCGTATTAATTTTTTCATAGCTGTGTTTATACGCATAATTAGTCAAACTTCGAAATACTACATGTATATTTCAATAAAGAAACAATAGTGGTGAACAAAAGATAGAGACACTCACATTCTTTGATTAAGTTCCTTGCTGGCACCAAATGTGGAACCAATTTCTTTTTCCATGAAAACGTCAAACTAATGGCCAAGCAACGCTTCCTATTTCTCTCTCCATCTCTTCATGCTGCGTTGGCTTGTATTTAATTCAGCCATCGTCCATTCGTTACACCATAAATGCAATTTTTGAGTGGTGGACCTTAATTGATTCATCATGATATCCATTAATTTGGAATTTAGTTATATGTCATTTTCACGCATGTAGTGTTTACAACAGATAGAAACTTCACATTAGAGTATATATCTAAAGCGCTATAATTGTTTTCAAGTGTAATGTACGTTTACCAAAAGAAAAATAGTGTCACGTACATTTTTGAATAACAAGATATGAATAACAACGATTCAGCAAAATATTGAGAGATAAAGTTTGTTTCTGAGGAAGGAACATTTCACCCATAAAATTCAGCCTCTCGTGACAAGTAAATAGATCAATATGCTTATAATCTATATCTATGTAAAAATAAATAAGTTGTACTTTTATGATTGATTGCAACTAAAAGTTAAGGTTGTTAACTGGCATGCATTTTGTATATTTTATATATGCTTAATCTAGCATTTTATTTTTGGCAACACTTGAAGCTAAATGGCTCATAGGACCATCATATCAACCTCTGTAATTGGGTTGGTGCCTGAAGATTTGTGCATAATGTGGCCAATGATGTTAAACAATAATAATATGAATCATTCTCTAATTGCTCACAAAAGCATGAGATAATAATTGGGTTATGAAGTCGGAAACACCCTAGCAGTTGATGAATGATGTCAGCATTCACAGCCTTCCTTGGTTGTTTTGATTAGTTCAACGTGTACAGATGGAAATTCTTTTAATAATCCAGAAAAGGCCATGCTATTGAAGATCTGAGCTTGGAATTTGGGAAGAAGAACTTCAACATTGACCTGGGATTCTTGGTAATAATGATTTCTCTTTTTTCCTTTCACCTTTTTCTCCTTTTTTGGTCTATAAGGGTGGGTAAATCATGAGATTTGTGGTCCAAAATAAAGTGGTGAATTTATTAATTGGCCACATATTTGAATGAGAAACTTTTCTCGTGTTGGAAGAAATGGGAAAAACATGGGACAGGTGTGTGTTTGATTGTAGCCCAAAAGGTGTGTGATGATATAAAACTTAACTAGTAAACTCTTTTTTTTTTAGACTCACTTTAATGCCTAATTAGAAATGTGCATAACTGTGGTTATAATATGCCAAATTTGTTTGGCCTGATTCACCGAGCTCAGTGATTCACAAGTTTATCGAGAACTCGACAAGCATCATGTGACTTGGTTGACATCATTCTCTATCTCCTAGCACAATCAAAATGAACAACGAAAATACCTTGACAGCCACCACACGTCCCAAGGTTGGATGTTGTGGGTTCACAATTTGGATCGATGGTTACTACCTTATACTGTTCGAAATTCGCAGAAATTAATGGCATCGCAGAAAGAATTGTTTAGTTAGATTCTCTTCTTTATTCGATTTTTTTTAGGTAAAGTCATGAGTTTAAGTTTTATATTAAGGGACTTTACTGAATATAATTAGTCCTGTTTGTAAATATAAATTAATTTTGTGTTAATAATATAACGATAAAAAAATATTTTTAATTTTGTTTTATTTTTGTTCAAAATACTATATTAAAATTATTAAAATAAAAAATATATATTTTTACTATTTCTTGTACATTTAAAAAAAAAAGTAAAAACAATGTGGTATTTTTATAATTTCTTTAAAATATAAATTATTTTTCCAAAAAACAAAATAAATGAAATAACTCAAATAAGTTTCCTTCATTTATTTATTTAGGATTTGGACGGTTTGGGGCTCCTAAAACAAAGGAATAGTGTCACAATCAACTATCCCCCATCACACATGAGGTGCTTGTAAACTAAAACTGAAAGATTTGCTTTTTAAAATACAAAATACCAGTGTAGTGGAATCAGTAATCGTACACGATTAAGATTATTACAAAATATAATTTATAGATTCTTTTTTACAAGAAATAAGAAAAGCAAATAGAGAAAAACAAAAAAAAAAAGTGAAAGCTTATTACATTTTTAATCAATAGTCATAATTGTAGTTTATTTTTTTAAGTGTACTGTCTCACTGTAAGAAGTTAAATTAAAAAATGTAAATGAAAAACCTCAAGTAAAATACTCAATTTTTATTTTATTTTTACTTAGTAACTTGAATAATAAGTTATCACGAGTAACTTGAATAATAAAAACAGACATTAAAAGCCAATAATTACCGAGATACTGTAATATTTAAATTTGAACTACTCCTTTGGTTTCTTTTCATAAGTCACATTATAGCTAGACGTATTTATTGTTCAATAATAGTAAGTCAGTAAAAAATCAGTGAAGCATTGAATACTTTTATCCATGTCTACCCATAATCTCCAATTACATTATACCCCTATTTAATATTTTAATTACTCTATATTTTCTATTTTTTCAATAATACTAGTACTCCATTACTTTTCAGATTCTTTCTTAGGTGTAATGGAGGCATTTTTCAATTGGTTGACTTTGATGCAAAAAGGAACAGGGGCATGACATGAGGAGCTTGAAATCTATGAAGAGTGTGGCCATTTGTGCCCGACCAAATAATTCACCTTTTTCTATGTTTCCCAATTCAACCATGCCGATAATTGGTTCTCTTAATTTTCCCAGTTGTCTACTCATCGCTAATCTGCAAACACATCTTCATCTCTCTCCCCCCCCCATTATATTGAGTGGTTAAATTCAATTACTATCATGCTTCTCTCATGGATTAGCTTTCGTCCACACAACTTGATTTATTGTTTATGGATAGTCATATCATATTTCCATCCAACAATTATCAATGTTGTTGCTGCCTACAATAAAATCTGGAGTTGTTGCATCATGAGTGTTTTATTGTCCTCATTGGGTCACTGGGCCCATGCCATATTTTATTTTATCATTTTTATTACAGATAAAGTAGATATACTAACATATATACATGTCCTCTCTTTTTTAAAATAAAACTAAAAGAAGTTTTGTTTTTTGGATTGAATGAGATGCAACTTGAAAAGTCATGTAATTTGGCCCATGGCTTCCAGCGTGGGTTTTTAAGTTTCAACCCAAGTCATTTTCTCTTGCTTTATTAGGTAGAACCTTTCCTGACTCACTAATATCGTGTTCCTTTCATGGGACATGTCGTGTCATGTTACTAGCCGAAACCAGCATTTTTAAATATATCCACTTTTCATTCATTTAAATCCCCACACCCAGAACCATATGATTGATTATTTTGAAGAGAAAATTTAGACATCATCTTTTTTTTAAGTGTGGTTGATATTATCCTCATTAATATGTATTTATGTGTATTGTTGAAATAAATTTTTGATTTTAATTAAAGAACAATATTAATCACTTTGTTTTATTTCTGATATATATTTATTTTTATTTTGGCATTGTGGGTTACAGCATTTTATCTCTAAGTAACAAATTTCCAGAAATACCCTTGTATCACTTTTTTTTTCCAACAACTGGCGCATTTGATTCTATAAGAGAAAAATTCAAATACATAAATTTAACTGTTGACTCGTTTGCAACATTTTCTTTCTCTGTGTTGTTGATCGCTGATCAGTCAAGTCTTTTTTCTTGTTACAAGGAATGCCAAGGCCCAATAGAAACTTGATTTTATTATTTATACATCGGATGCCATTTTTACGTATACTTTGTCTTTTTTTTATTTTATTTATGTTGATAGATACTTTTCTCAAAGCTTATTTCGCATCCAAAATAATTTTTATTAAAAATCTCGCTAAGAAGTAGCATTTAAAATGTTTTACTTTTGGGGACAACTGTTCTATTTTTTTTTTTAAATTTTTTAGACAACTATTTTTAACCTCTTTTTGAAATTATTGCGTGGTATTTGATGTTTAACTTATGATAGACGTTTTAACTATTATCTATATAATTTTTTGTGCTTATATGTATGTAACTAATTAATACTCATTTTTATATATTTTATTCACTTATTGACTTAGACATCTAAGTATTTATGCAAATATTTATAAGTTATATTTTTTTATCGGATGTTGTTATAATTGATCAAAATTTTTGTTCTCA